AAAGAAAGAAAGAAAGAAAGAAAGAAAGAAAGAAAGAAAGAAAGAAAGAAAGAAAGAAAGAAAGAAAGAAAGAAAAGACTAGATATGGGGAATAGTATAATCTGGCCTGCACTGAGGATTTTAGGAAGAACATGTGCTCTTACAGGGAACCTGGGGAGGGAAATTCTGCAGACCCTGAGCTCCTGATGGTGGATGCAGTGTGCTTCTGACTCCATGGAGACTGCTTTCAGAGCACACCTGGCCAGGCCCTCCTGAGTCAGCACCGCACGCCCCAGGGGAGGAGCCTGAGCACGTTTGTTGGGAAAGTTCCCCCAAGTGGTTCTGCTGCCCATTTTGATGATCCTACTGTTCTAGCCGCCTTCCCAGTTACTCAAAATTGAGCAGCAGGACTCCCATCACATATAGTCATCAGTTGCCTCCCCTGGAAGCCACCTCCACTGGCTCCAAAAAACTGGCCGGGAGCCAGACTCCCACTCCATCCTCTCTGGGCCAGCAGAGCCCGGGCCGGGCACCTGCCTGCAAGACAGTCTCAGGAAGGGTGTTAACACCCTGCTCTGCTTGGTGAGCATGTTGCCGGGCAATTAAGGCAAAAGCAGTGGGCAGGAGATAACCAAGGAGCAGAACCAGTCCTGCTGGATCTCCAAGCCCCAGAAAACATGCTCCTACACATCCAAGAGGGACGGCACAGCCTTCCCCCTCACCGCAGCCCGACGTGTCACCAAAGAAGGAGGCTCGAGGAAGGAGAGAGTTAGAAAAGAGGAAGAGGGAGAGGGAAGAGAAATCCTCCCCATTCTTAGAACCCACCACACATCCACCACTTCCTTCATCCACCCTCCCTTCCTCATCCTCCGGCCCCCACTGGAAAGTGTGTGGGACTTGGGGGGTGGGGCAGTGGGGAGGAAGCTCACCAAACAGACAATCACAACCCTCCCTGGGCCGCAGCACGTTGCAGACATTTTGCAAAGAAATCCCTATGCATGCTTACATGTCCTTAAGTCCATGGCGCAATAACGCACAATAACTAAAAACACATTCTGCGGCCCCCAAAATATCGATCCATTGATTAAGTCCCAACACAGCCAAGTGGATCTGCTCTGCACGCTGGTGTCCAGTTGGTCCTGACCACTTGTTTGAACCTTTAGCTTCTATCTGATGGATTCTCCTCCTTGTCACCCCCCACTTCTCTTCGCCTTTTACCAGCTCTTGGAGCAATAGTGCCACCTCTCCCTTTGGGAGAATGTGTGTCTGGGGACCTTTACTGTACGCTTCAGGGACATTGGTGTCATGACCAGTCGTGATAAGAAGATCGTGCTCACAACATTTATGAGACACAAAAAGTCCCCAGGAAGTAGACAGGAGTGCTGGCCTGAGACTCTGGAGGTGATCGTCCACTGCATTCAGGAGTGTCGATACCCTCTGTTCTGTACGTGAGCTAAAAGACGCTGAAATTTGAAACAGGAAATTAATGAATAAGTTCAAAGGGAGTGTGGGCTTTGAAACTGAAATGCGTGGAAAAGTATCTGTTGAGACACCAGGTGTCTTGTTGAAGGCTCTATTTAAGGCAGTAACTCACCATTTGGGTCCATACCACCAGCCTTAAACTGAGATGGTTGCTGCGAACAAGTGTTTAAAACAAACTCAGAGATGGGCAGCACCCACTCCCTGCTTCACACAAATCGGACAAGACTCACATCTGGGAGCGTCTTTAACAAAAATCAGGAAGTCAAATGGAGAAGCGGTCAGCTCACCTCTGGTCTCAATACACCAGCAAGAGGTTTGGATTTGAGAGGGTTTGTTCCTCGGAATTTAGGGAAAACAAAACAAAAGGCATTAATTATGTCCAAAAATACACTGCATGTGAGGCATGAAATAAGTGCCGATAGGAACAAAGATGAGTGTGGTAAATATAGGCTTCTTAACTGACCTAAAACAAAGGAGACAAACGACCCTTCCCTTCTCCTGTACCATCAGCAGGTGTTAAAAAGCTGGTAACAGCATCCGTGGCTCTGAGCCTGGACTCTTCCTCAGAATCCTTCTGAACACAATGCTTCCACGTGGTCAGTATTGACCCAGCAACATACACTGGTCATCCTCATTCTAGGCTGAAGCAGATTTCAGTTATAAGCACTTTGGGTCTCACGCGATTTCTAAGGCTTCCCACAGCCAGCCAGCCCTCTCTTCTCTGGGGTGAATCCTGAGGTAGTCTTCCCAGCAATTTTACTCCTAATGAGGTATCACAGAGGAATGCGTCTACCTGAGCACCAGGACCGACATCCAGGAACTTCCACAGCAGCGTGATTGGTTAACAGTCCCAAACTGCCAACAACTCACATGACCATGTACTGATAGCAGAATGGATGCACGGCTACCTAGTTACTCAATGCAAGGGGCTCCACCAAGGGAGATGAACACCCCGCAGCTGCACACTACATAACAGACGCATCGGCGAGCCCAGACCCAAGAACAGAAGCAACACATGAAAGAAAACCTACTATACAATTAATCTCTTTCTGTAAACTTCAAATTTAGTCCAGTAAGCAGTTGGAAATGCAGGGCTGCCACCTGGGAAGGGAGAATACTGTTGGAGATGTGGAATTTGTCGCACCTGCACAAGGATGACCATTGAAGCCATGAGAATAAGGGAATAACCTATCAGGGAGGAGGATGCAGAAAGAGCAGCTCTGACGCTCAGGAATCATGCAGATGGGTCGCAGAGAGACAGGACGCACAGACTGATGGGGGAAGTGATCCCTACTGACTTTCAACAAGGAAAAGCCATTGAGAAGAGGAGAAATGGACAGTGACAGCACACAAGCCAAGGATCCGTCTACCCAAGGCACCCATGAGGGCTCCCCCGGTCCAGAGTTGGGAGAGGAGGCGCTGTGTGCTCACTCGCAGGAAAGGCAGCTGAGGACAGCATGACCCTGGCCTCCTGTCACTGAATAGAGGGAGATAAAGAACACACTCATGACCACAGGCTGCTGTGACAGGACACCTGCTGATCACCATTTCAAA